TTGACTCTGCATTCCAGGATGTCTGGCTCTAGGTGAATGATCACACCATCGTGGTTATCTGGGTCGTGAAGATATTTTTTTGTATAATTCTTCAATGTATTCTTGCCACCTCTTCTTAATATCTTCTGTTTCTGTTAGACCCATACCATTTCTGTCCTTTATTGAGCCCATCTTTGCATGAAATGTTCCCTTGGTATCTCTAATTTTCTTAACGAGATCTCTGGTCTTTCCCATTCTATTGTTTTCCTCTATTTCTTTGCACTGATCACTGAGGAAGGCTTTTTATGTTTCCTTGCTATTCTTTAGAATTTACCAAAGAATACTTATCATAAAACTCAGCAGTTCCATTCCTAGAAATCCACCAAGAGAGACAAAAGCATATGTTTGCATAAAGACAAGGACACAAATACTTATCAGTAGCATTATTTACAATAGTCAAAAACTGGAAACAACCAAAATGTCCACCCACTGAAAAAATGGATAAACAAAAGTAGTCTATCCATACAATGGAATACTTTTCAGTATTAAAAAGAGAACAAAGTGATGACAGGTACTGCCACATGGATGAAACTCAAAAATATTATGCCAAGTGAAAGAAGCCACATGAAAAGAGGATATAAAAGGCCACATGTTGTGTGATTCCATTCAAGTGTAGTAATAAGAAAAGGTGATCCATAGAGACAGAAAGTAGATCAGTGGTTGCCAAAGACTGTGGCTGGGATTGACTGTAGATAAGCCTGAGGGAATTTTGAGGATATGGAAGTGTTCTCAATCTGAATTGTGTTGACTGTTGCAGGAATAGATAATATTACTAATCTTGGAGAGAGAGCAGTGAACAGTCCTAAAGAGAGATCTTAGTTCCCTGCCCAGGAGTTGAACCTGGGTAGCCTGGATGAAAACCAAGAATCCTAGACACTTGACCACCAGGGGCTAAAGGCTAGAAGTGAAGTGGCTCTGGCTCATTCTCCCATTTGAAAGCAAAAATGTTTCAAGGAGGCAAACACTGTGAAAACAGATACAAAGCTTATTACTGTAGACACAGCATAACCTGTGGGTGAGTACACAGAAAAAAGCTTGTCTATTTAAGTCAGAAGCTAGATAGAAATACAGAGCCAGAGAGAAAGGGTGGGCAGCGTCCTCTCTGATAAGGAGGAGTCCAGTAAAGAGGTGATTTAAATCACTTATATAGGACAGTCCTTCCAGGCTTTTGTTTACTTTGGCCAATTATATTGTTTCTTTTTTCACACCTGCCTGGGACCCTCCCCATGATGCATGTGAAACTTTTTGCCAATATGGATCCCACTGCAGAGGACTCTGTGTGCTTGTCCAATCATTATGGGGTGGCACCCCCTCCCATTTTAACCTTCAAGTAGCCTTCCTGCTCATGTGCAGACAGGGACATTTTCATTGACTTCATATTGTTGTTTTTTAGTAGTTCAGTTAGTTGTGTCCGACTCTTTGCAACCCCATGGACTGCAGCATGCCAGGATTCCCTGTCCTTCACCATCTCCCAGAGCTTGCTCAAACTCATGTGCATTGAGTCGGTGATGCCATCCAACCATCTTATCTCCTGTTTTCCCCTTCTCCTCCTGCCTTCAATCTTTCCCAGCCTCAGAGTCTTTTCTAATGAGTTGGCTCTTTGCATCAGGTGGCCAAAGTATTAGAGCTTCAGCTTGAGTCCTTCCAATGAATATTCAGGATTGATTTCCTTTAGGATCAACTGGTTTGATCTCTTTGTAAAGGGAGTCCAAGGGACTCTCAAGAGTCTTCTTCAACACCATAGTTTGAAAGCATCAATCATTTAGTGCTCAGCCTTCTTTATGGTCCAACTCTTACATCCATACATGGCTACTGGAAAAACCAGAGCTTTGACTATGCAGACCTTTGTTGGCAAAGTAATGTCTCTGTTTTTTAATATGCTGTCTATGTTTGTCATAGCTTTTCTTTTTAGGATCAGGAGTGGGCACTTTATCTCTTCACTTCCGCAGAGCTTAGCGTCTGCCACTAGCTTTGTCCTGGAGTGTTGGGGGTGGGGGAGTTAGGAGAACAATGCTTCAATTTTATTTTGACAAACACTTGTCTAGCCCTGGGGTCATCTATCTCCTACCTCCTTACTAAAACTCAGCAAAACATACCTTCAAAATGGTGGGTCTCATGGTTTAAAATTTATACCTCAATAAAATTATTTTGAAAGAGAGGGATAATAATATCAAACAAGACCTTGTGGTGCTCCTGTGTACCAAAGCCTTTCTGTGTCCCCCAGTTTTTGATTATAGGAAATAGGCTTCATTTAGCCTCTAGGACCTTCCCTGAGTTCCAACTCAGCAGGTCCAAACAGATGCTAATTAGGGAAGGGAGGAAGGTCAGAAGAAACGATCAGTTCAGTTCAGTTGAGTTGCTCAGTCTCATCCAACTCTTTGCGACCCCATGGACTGCAGCACACCATGTCTCCCTGTCCATAGAGTAAACTCCCGGAGTTTACTCACACTCATGAGTCAGTGATGCCATCCAACAATCTCATCCCCCGTTTGTCCCCTTCTCCTCCTGCCTTCACTCTTTCCCAGCATCAGGGTCTTTTCAAGTGAGTCAACTCTTCACATTAGGTGGCCAAAGTATTGGAGTTTCAGCTTCAGCATCAGTTCTTCCAATGAATATTCAGGACTGATTTCCTTTAGGATGGACTGGTCAGATCTCCTTGTAGTCCAAGGGATTTTCAAGAGTCTTCTCCAAAGATAAAACTCTATCTCCTAGATTTAATTCAGTGTGGGGAGCACAAAGGGGTACAGAGGCCAGATTTACCTTCAATAAATGATGGATATGAGAGAAGCTGGGGATGAAGAATATTCCTGGTCCAACGCTGATTGGCTGAGAGGGACAAATGAGTAGATAGAGTTCAGGGTAACCCCCAGATTTTTGATGAGGAAATGATTGGTGACATTAAACAAATAAAAGAAAGATAATAAGTTTGTTCAAAGAAGCAACAGTCACACTAAGCCTACATGGTTCCCTCTATGTTATAAACACAGTGACTTCGTTTTCTATTTCCTTGAACATTTAGAATTGAAACAATTTCAGGACCTCTTTTCCTTCACTCTCCCCAGAGTCTTGGTTCTTTAAAAGAAGTACTTTTGGAACCTTCAAAACAGAGAAAACCAAGCAGCATATGAAATCCAAGGCCAGTCTGATCTAGTTAAGTGTTACATTTTATTTTAGGAGCACAGAGGCTCAGATACCTTGGCCCACTGCAGATGTAATAAACCTCTTCCTTTTTTAGCTTCTTCCCTGAAGTAATTGAAGCTCCTTCTCATAGTTACATGAGTCCAGTAGGAGAATAACTCAGGGACAGAAAATTCTACTCATAAACCAGTTAATCCCAGCCATTTCTAGCAATGACTTAGTTTAGACAAAGGGTAGTCTTCCCTCCTTTCCCCTGGAGGAGGAAATGGCAACCCACTCCAGTATTCTTGCCTGGAAAATTCCATGGACGGAAGAGTCTGGCAGGCTACAGTTCATGGGGTCGCAAAGAGTCGGACATGACTGTCCGCACATACACAGTCTTCCCTAAATTTGAAAAGAACTAGCTTTCTAAAAGGATATTATTTTAAGTTTTTGTTTGTTTGTTTAAGGAAAACCTAATAGGTTATTTGCTTTATCAGAAGCTTATATGAGGCTAATTTTTCATTGTGTTCAGTCTCTCAGTTGTGTGCAGATCTCTGCAGCCCCATGGACTGCAGCCTATCAGGTTTCTCTGTCCATGGGATTCTCCAGGTAAGAATACTAGAGTGGGTAGCCATTCCTTTTTCCAGAAGATCTTCCCTACCCAGGAATCGAATCCTCGTCTCTTGTGCCTCCTGTATTGGCAGGCAGATTCTTTACCATTAGCATTTTTATTACCTTAAAACAAATGTAATTAGAACCACAAAGCTAGTTAGAAGAATTTCTCTATCAGTACATGTAAAATGAAGTTAATTGGAGAGATTCAATGTAAAATTTTTTAACATTGTTTGTAAATAAATAATCTGCAACAAGAGTTTCAAAATAAGAGAAAGGATTATATAGGACTTTTTCTCATATTAATGTTCTGTATCACCAAAAACTGTATATTGGCTCTTTTAATACCAGTTTATTTCATGCAGTCATCAGAAGTCGTATATAGTTGGAAACTTATTTTATATACTGACCAGAAACTAAGGTTTTGGAAGAAGAAAAAACACTCTATTTATAACTAGAAGTTACAATAATATTGTGGTATTTGTCTTATCCAGACTCATTTTTGAACAAAGGTGCATTTCCCGTTTAGGTGGAAGCTTTCATTTATTCTTGTGAAATATTGTGAAGCTATGGAACACAAGTATAGCTAGCAGTGGTCTCCTGTCTTGTCCTTGATCAGAGCAATTCAGGCTCTCCTCTTCACTCCATCCACCAAGGAAGAACAGGACAGATTGAGAACAGAGCTGCTATATTTTGTAGTTTTTCAAAACTAAATTTTGGCTCAAGCCATTTGTTAGAAATTCAACAACAACAATCTTCTGGTCTTACAGATCCCTGGGTGATCTCTACCAGGTAAAATTTGAAAGGATATCTGCAGTCTTCACCTACTTTCTTATCGGGTGACCAGTTATAAGGTCTCAAGAGATAACTGTTAATCTTTCACACTATCATTTTCCTAAACAATTTGTAAATTCTTTTCACATATAGATAGCAATGATACTTCTGAGTAAAGTTTTTAAAAAATGAAAGGAATCTCTTCCTCTCTACAATGTCTTTTGCCTTCATAAGCCCATAGAAAATTCCTTGTTCAAAAATTCAAGAAAAATGTATCTACCTCTTCTTAATAAGCAAGCCATCCAAGTGAATAGAATCCTGTATCTTAAGGAACAATGCAGATGAAAATGTCTTTGAATGTGATCTCTCTCAAGTGACAGGAGGACGAGGAATTTTCTAGATTGTAAAATTTGATGGGGAGAGTAAAAATGAAGGTTCTTATCTCTAAATTACAGGTAATAAGGTGATATGCTTCAATTTCATAAAGTTCTATGTACATGGAATTTGAACTTATTCAAGTAATGGTTATTCAAATTACAAAATGATTATTTTCTTTAAATGGAAAACTTCCAACAGGTACTTGTTTCTGTTGGCTACTTGAGCAAAGGGCTGGTTCAAAAGAAGGTGGAGAATTTCATAGCCGAAATAAATAGATTAGACGTCACTGCTCACTGAAGATAAACCTGATGAATTATCTTCTGAAATTAGAAAGATGAATTTCTTCTGATGATGAATTTTTTATGATGATGAATTTCTTCTGAAATTAGGCTGTAAAAAATTAGGGGAAACATTTATTAATAAATATTGGATTTGCTGTAACTATTTTATAAAATGAAGCACATCCAAAACGTCTTCCTTTTTGTAACAGTATCTGCCCCATTGCCTGTGGCCTCTCCCCAAACAACTGTTACTAGCTTGGTCCCAGGAAAAGCAATGCTATATTTCTAGCTTGTGTGGTGGGACCGGTTGCCTAGCATTGCAGTAAATTTTACAAAACAGTTGGCAGAAGGATCAGACCAGCTCGGCTAAATGAATTAAGCAATCACCTAAGACTGCAGGGCATATTAAAGAAGAATGTCCACATTATAGCACTTGATACTCCCTTCTCACAGCCCCACTTCCCCCAGTATAATGCTTTGGCTGAGCAGGCTGTAATCTGATATGAAACAAGGTTCTTGTTAAGTAGATGCAATGAAATAATGCTGAGTTTTTGTTGCATTAGTGGAGTTAAATGCATTTTATTAGCCCTCATTAGAAGGAGGGAAAACTTGAAGCTAAGGACTCATTAGCCGGCCCCTGTGAGGTAGATTAAACTGCTGGGGGCCAGAGAAAGGGGACCCGGGCCACACACAGCAGATTCTGAAAGCTTGTCCTCTCTCTGTCCGCCATGACAAAAATGTCTGAGAACAGTTCGGGGGAGAAATGATAGGTCCAACCGCAGGTCAGCTGAAAATATGTGTTTCTTTCTAAAGCTGTTAATTTGACAAAAGGCAGAAGCCCCAGAAAGAAAGCACAATTATGATTTATACTTGAGATTCAAAAGGAAGTCATTTACTTTGGAAATTTGAAAAAAAAAATGCTACCAGCTCTCCAATTTTAAAGAATATATTATGAAATCTGCTTTTATTCTAGTTTGTTGTTAGGAAAAAGCCACACACACACACACACACACACACACACACACACATGCGTCATTGCTCCAAAATAAAAGTTTCTCTCCAAAGTAAAATGAATATGTGAAGTTATTTTGCTCAATTAAACTTCACAATGTAATCTTGAGCTAAAGAACTAATGCATTTTAAATAACCCTGAAACTTCAGAATTTGGGAGCTTCATTATCCTCTTCTGTCTCTGTGATGCAGCTCTATGGAGTGACTAGTTTGTGAATGCATCCAGATGATGACCTGTTATTACCTCTTATTACATCTCTGCTCCCCTATTTCCGTCTCATCTGCTGGCTCTCTACCACTGGCTGTTTTACAAGCCTAGTACACTCCAAACTGAGTCTATCATCAGTTCTTCCAAGGCCCTCCAAGTCTCCCTCTATTAATGGCACCATCATCTTCACAGTCATCCAGCATTGAAACCTTAGCATCATTTTTATTTTTTCACTTTTAACATGCAGTCAGTTTCCAAATCCTCTAGACTTAACCCTCTGAAACACCTTTATGTTCATCCTCTCTCCTTCATCATAGTTTTACAAATCAGATCTTTGTGGGTCATTATTTGAACTACAGCCGTGGCCTCAGCCAGCAGACAGGAACTCCTGTCCATTATCCCTTCATTATACTCCATGTTGCACACAGACGCCAAAGGATCTTCTAGGAGCACAACTCCAAATGGACAGTTTTTCTTGCTTAAAGTCTTCAGCAGGCTTCTATTGTCCAAATCTATAAAATGAGCTTGATATGATCTATTGCAGAGCTGTAAAGCTCAAAAATGATAATGGATAAAGCTCTCTACCCAGTAGATATCACATAGTGAGAGCTCAGTAATGGGTAGTTTTTCTTATCTGTTGTCTACACCCATTTCTCTGACCACACTGATCTGTTCATTGCCTATACACACCAGCCATGATGCAGTTTTCTTTTCCTGTTTTCCTTCAGTTGTCTTGGCCTGGAGAACACTGCCCTCATCGACCCAAATTCAAACTATTCATTGTCCAAGCCCCAACTGTTTCCCTCTCCTTCTGGATGTAAGGGACTCCTCCCTCATCTCAATACTACAGCCCTTCAGAGAGAGTTTTTTTTTTTTTGTTTGTTTGTTTGTTTGTTTGTTTTAATTTTTTTATTAGTTGGAGGCTAATTACTTTACATCATTACAGTAGTTTTTGTTATACATTGAAATGAATTAGCCATGGATTTACATGTTAAAAATTATTCTTGTGATTTTCTTATGCTTGCTAAGTGCTAAAATTTAAGGAAAGGACTGACATCAAATTCATTTTTATGTCTATTGTCTCATAATGACTGTCAGAGGGTTTATCTCAGGACTACTTTATGGAACTCTGTAGAGCTCAAGAAATCTGTGCTTGCCTCTGCTGTCCCACTTCATCTTATGTCTGGGCAGAAATGGAGTGCAGTGAAACCTGAAATGAATTCCAGTTTGTGTTTGATCGAGCGGCACTTAATGCTCAGATGCTCACGTTAATGTGCAGGAGTCAAGTATACATTTTCTTGTTTTTCTACCAACTTGTCTTAGCAGTTCAACATGAATATAGCCAAGCCTCCCTATTATTATAGAAGACTATTTTGGCTACTGCCTTGTGCATTTTTTATTTTCATGCAGAGATAGCTCTAAAAGGCAGTATTTTTTTCATATCCACTTGTGTCCTCCGTTAGCTCCCTTGCACACAGGCAGGGACCAGCCACAACCTATGTGTGTGTGACATATAACTCTGGCACCTCCCACAGTGACTTCCTCCTGGTGATGTTCAGAACTTGTTCACGGGAATAATAAAAATACTCAGGAATTTTTCAGTTACCATCATGATTCTATAAATCTTGATCCTATAAGCTTGCTTTTAGTTCTTTAGTTTAAGAAAACACTGATTAATTTGTATTAATAAAATAGCTATAAAATAAAAATACTGAGAATTTGGAAGTGCAGTATTAGGGAAGGGTTCATAACCTCTAGTAGGAGAAGAAGTAATAAAAGGAGAAGTTACACCTAGAAATTACTAGTCCCAAGTGGCTACTATGGCAGGCAATCTGTTGAAGGTTTTAATGAATCTCCAAAATACCTGTGATAAGTATGTTTATTAAAAAGATAAGAAAATTAAAGCTTGCTTAAGTAATTTGAGAAGGAAAAAAACCCATTTGATTGAGTAATGAAACAATATGTGGCTAATGTGATGATAATAGAAGACAATTTAATGACTTACGTAAATGTTTTCCAGAGAGCACTGTGTATAAAATAGAAAGTTGGTTATAAAACAATTTTATGATCCATATATATATATATATATACATATACATATATATATATATACACACACACAAAAACATAATAGAAAAAATAAACTGGGCAGATAATATAGCAAAATATTAAAATCATTTATTTTTGAATAATTAGATTTTGAATGAAGGGACTGAAACTATTTTATTTTTTGATTATTATTATTATTTTCCTCATTGTGTTTTAATATGTGTAAGAATGATGTTATTATTGAAAAAGAAATATGCATTTTAAAATTTGTTGCTGACATTATTGTGTGTAAATGAGCTTTTAATTCAAGGAAAATTGATGGAATCTGTGTCCCCCTGAATTATTCTAGGGACGTGCACTAGTTGTGCAGGTAAAACTGTTAAAACTATTCTGGACTTGAGGCTGACTTTTTCCAGAAAGGCCTGGGGGTGTGCCTCAGTATGTGTCCTTCCATGACTCTCTGCACAGCAGTTTCTGACCTAAATGACTCTGAATACCCACCAACTGGCCCGTACTACCCACAACCCCAGGGCGGTGATGCAGGGAGATCCGGCAGCTTTTTTCCAGGCAGGTGATAGGTTTGCATACACCCCCCTACCTTCCTCAGGGCCTCCCAGCCCCGTCCCCTCCACATGTGCGTGCATGCTGAGCCCCTTCATTCCTGTCTAACTCCTTCAGACCCCATGGACTGTCACGTGCCAGGTTCCTCTTAGGTCTCTTAGGTCTCCTTCATTGGCAGGTGGGTTCTTAACCACTAGTGTCACCTGGGAAGCCCCCTCACATAGATGCCAACAATTGGCCTTCCTGAGGACTTTAAAAATAAGGAATTTGGGTCATTAGGAAGACCTCTGAGGTCTGAGAGCACTGAGGAGCACAGAAATAAAGACTAATCCATGTTCTTATTTGGAGAAGACTGAATCCTTCAAGTCAAGCATAGGTTTCTAAGAAAGATAATGTGAACGTCTACCTTTGATGGCACTGCAAAGAACATTCTATGAAAGCATGACAATCTAAAAATGCAACTTTTTAAAAAGGGTTAAACACTTAGGAATAAACTTAACCGAAGAGGAGGAGAAAACGTACACTAAAAACTATAACACTTAAGAAAAAGCTAAAATATTAAAAAAAAAAAGGGGGCAGAAGATGTTGCAATAATAGGTGTGGCATTCAATTTCAGGTGTTCAAGAAATGCAACATTGACATAATTTTCTATAATTATACTTAATTTATATTTTCATCTCCTATCTGCCCAGTGATGAAAGGATTATCTTAGCCAATTCAAAGTCTTGGGGAAAAAAGTCTTCTTCATCCTTTCAGTAGTTATAGAACCAAGGTGTCAAGAAATATGAATGTATATAGTATATAGAGCATTTATTAATATTAACTATTGTCTATTAGCATTTACTTTAAAATACATAATTTATAAAACATTTCTGTGGGAGAAGTAGCAGAAGGATTCTGAATAGTTTCCTCACACCCTTGCCAACAAATTTCCTTTCAGTTCAGTTCAGTTGCTCAGTCGTGTCCAACTCTTTGCAAACCCATGAATCACAGCACACCAGGCCTCCCTGTCCATCACCAACTCCCAGAATCCACCCAAACCCATGTCCATTGTGTTGGTGATGTCATCCAACCATCTCATCCTCTGTCATCCCCTTCTCCTCCTGCCCTCATCTTTCCCAGCATCAGGGTATTTTCAAATGAGTCAGCTCTTTGCATCAGGTGGCCAAAGTGTTGGAGTTTCGGCTTCAACATCAGTCCTTCCAATGAACACCCAGGACTGATCTCCTTTAGGATGGACTGGTTGGATCTCCTTGCAGTCCAAGGGACTCTCAAGAGTCTTTCTCCAACACCACAGTTCACAAGCATCAATTCTTCTGCACTCAGCTTTCTTCATAGGCCAACTCTCACATCCATACATGACTACTGGAAAAACCATAGCCTTGACTAGACAGACCTTTGTTGGCAAAGTAATGTCTCTGCTTTTTAATATGTTGTCTAGGTTGGTCATNTTTTCTAAATCCAGCTTGAGCATTTGGAAGGTCATGGTGCATGTACTGTTGAAGACTGGCTTGGAGAATTTTGAGCATTACTTTACTAACGTGTAAGATGAGTGCAATTATGTGGTAGTCTGAGCATTTTTTGGCATTGCCTTTCTTTGGGATTGGAATGAAGACAGAAGTTTTCCAGTCCTGTGGCCACGGCTGAGTTTTCCAAATTTGCTGACATACTGAGTGCAGCACTTTCACAGCATCATCTTTTAGAATTTGAAATAGCTCCACTGGAATTCCATCACATCCACTAGCTTTGTTTGTAGTGATGCTTCCTAAGGCCCACCTGACTTCACATTCCAGGATGTCCAGCAAAAGAGAGAAGCTGATCCCTCCACCTCTGAGCCAATCAGAGGACATTTAGCTCCTTCTGCACTTGGCTGTTGTCTTAGATTTCTGGGTTGACAGATTTCACAAGAATATAGTAAGATGAACTAGTGTGCCTAAAAATCCAGGTTCCATAATCCATATAACCTGAGGTGAAGGTGAATGTGGGAGTTCTTTTCAGGAGGAATAGTACTTTAAAATTCTGAATGGACTTCAGACCTGGAGATTGTATGTGAATACATTTATGAACATTCCTAGAATTCATTCTACTTCCCCTTCATTGTATAGCAGCCATGTCGTTTGGGTGGAATTGACCTCACATCCAGAACCATAGGCTCTCATTGGCCTATGACCTAAGCCCTGATCACTGGAGTTAATTCAAGAGTAGGCATGAAACCTAATTGGTTCATGACCTAAGTGAAGCTTGGAGCTTTGGCTCAATGGTTAAGAAAAGGGAAGTCTCCTATCCCTATGTTTGCAGATAGGGATGTAGGGAAGCCCAGTTTGCTGCAGGCAGGTGTCTTATAAGCGTGTCTTATAAGTACCTTATAAGGTGTCTTATAACCTTCCTTTGTAAACTTTAAGATGATGCTGACTCTATGGAAATAGAGATACGAAAAAAACCTAAGCCCTTTGGGAGAGAAGTGAAGCCCTAGATCAGACCTCACTTGAAAGTCACTTTGCACTAAAACTTCATTTATGAAAGCTGAAAATGGCCTTTAGTTTTTAAGCCAGTTTGAATTAGATTATCTGTAAACTGCAAGAGTAAGCATTGGAAAAGATATTGGAAGAACCTATACTGATTTCTTACTTTAACAATCTCTCTTCTTTCCAAGAGCTTCCCAGGTGGCATTAGTGGTAAAGAACTCACCTGCCAAGGCAGGAGACATAGAGACAGGGGTTTGATCCCTGGGTTGGGAAGATTCCCTGGAGGAGGGCATGAAACCCATTCCAGTATTCTTGCCTGCCGAATCCCATCGACAGAGGAGCCTGGCGGGCTACAGTTCATAGCGTCTTACAGAGTCAGACAAGACTGAAGTGACTTAGCACGTACATACACACACACACACACACACACACACACACACACACACACTTCCCTAACTCTGAGTTTTGGGAAGAATGTGGGTTCTTTCTGAGGGAATTAACATCTGATTCAGCTAGGTACATGGTGGCACTACTAGTCCTGGGTCTCTTTAAACCAGGGGTTCGCAACCCCTGGTTGCTGAGGTGGGGCTGATGTAATAATAATAGAAACAAAGTGCACAATAAATATAATGCGTTCGAGTCATCCCGAAACCACTCTGGCCACACTGGTCTATGGAAAAATTGTTTTCCACAAACCAAGTCACTGGTGCCAAAAAGGTTGAGGACTGCTGCTTTAAACTAAATTTCATAGATTGAGAGCTTTGTATCTCTCAGGGACTGCTGCTTTAAACTAAATTTCATAGATTGAGGGCTTTTGTATCTCTCAAGGATGTAAGCTAAAAAATCTACATGACAGCGGGGGAAATTCTGGTTCATATTTACTTCAAGGTGTAGCTCTTAAAGTCCCAGTGGAAAGCGGAACCATCTCCCTGTAGACATGACTTCTACATAAAAGCCATCAGCGCCAACTTCAATTTTTTCACTCCTGTAAGCTTTCCCAAGATGCCAGCAAAGGTTTTCTGTACAAGTTGTAGAGAGGGAGATACCTGGTGACGGATTCAAATATTCCAGGTGATTTCTTGTTCCAATGGTTCCACTGCTGAGCTGCAGGCTGAAGGTGAATAAAGAATTGATGGAGAGGAAGAAGAGAAAGAGATCAAGGAAGAAAGCAATTTGCCATGTGTTATAGATGATCAAGATCCAGCCTGAAATAGGTTGCCGTCTACTTAATGTTTCCTTTATCTTGCCTTCTTTTGGTTATGTAATTTGCATGCCACATTAGGTATTTCATAGTAATTAATAATACATTTGGAACATGTTTAGGATTAGAAGTGAGTCTGGCAATCATTAAAATCAGTAGTTCTAACTCCTCAATAGTCAAAATCTATTTACATGTAAATCCAATATAGGAAACAAATAAGAGAATTGTGCTCTTTGAAGGCAGGAGATGAAGAAAGGGATTGTGTTGCCCTCTTTCAACCCTACCCATTCCTGTGGCTTTAACAGACTTCCCTTGGTACCCACCTACTTCCCCTTTGTCTCGTATTTCAGTGCACATCCTCTTGGCTTCCAACTTCCTATTATGTGTCTCTTTTCCTGACGGCTTTCCTAGGTGAAGCTTATTTCATCCTTGTGCACAGAAGGTAAAAGATAAGAAAAGCTGGGGAACCCATGCCCCTCTCTAGATTAGCCCTCAACCTACCAATTCTCAGCTGACTCACTCTTTATGTGGGAGAATTCTGAGGCACATGTCCTCAAAGTATGCTCCGTGGATATCTGGAGGTCCTCAAGAAATTATTGTCATAATAATTTAAAAGTACTGCATAATTTTTGCTGTTTTCACTGTGTTGACATGTGTATTGACAGTGCAAAAACTATGGTGTGAAACTTTCCTTAGCAATCAGGCAGGGACACCCTATTTTACTTGTTGTACTGGTTATACTGATAGTCATTGCATTAGCCTCCGTCTTGGACTGATGAGGGGAAAAAGCCAGTTCCACTTAAACTGTCATTTATGAAGCAGTGAAAAATTACATTTTATTAAATATTGACCTTTGAGTATTCTATGTGATAAAGTGGGAACTCCATATAAAGCAATTCTGCTCCATACTGAAATATGACTATTGCTCCAAAGAAAAGTACTTGCACAATTATTTGAGTAGAAAGAACAAACCATGCTTATTCAGATTTGGGTACTTGGCAGATATGTTTGCAAGATGAATGAAATCAGGCTGTTACTTCAAAGAAACCACTGACAGTCTTCGTTTCCAACAATAAAATCTGAGTTTTCAAGAGAAAATTAGAGTTTTTGAGAACTTATATCCACCACTGTGAGTTTAATGACTTCCTGAAGCTTAACTGCTTTTTCTGATGACACAAGTGGGGATAATAATGAATGTGAATTTTTGAGGTTGTATAATGAAATATGTCAGTCTTTGGAATATCTGCTTAACTCATTGAGCCTTGAATTTTCCTGTAACCAACACATGATCAAAATCAAATATGGTAAAAGATTTGTTCAAATAATAGGATAAAAACATTGATTTTTAATGAAATAGAGCACAAAACATTCTTGGATGTGGTTTCAAATTTCACATTAAAACTAACCTGTAAGAAATACTCAATTGTCAAGTTTTATTATGTATCAATCAAAAATATACATAATTATCTGAGAATGAGAAATCTGTATGCAGGTCAGGAGGCAACAGTTAGAACTGGACATGGAACAACAGACTGGTTCCAAAACGGGAAAGGAGTACATTAAGGCTATATATTGTCACCCTGNGTGTTCATTGGAAGGACTGATGTTGAAGCTGAAACTCCAACACTTTGACCACCTGATGCAAAGAGCTGACTCATTTGAAAAGACCCTGATGCTGGTAAAGATTGAGTGCAGGAGGAGAAGGGGATGACGGAGGATGAGATGCTTGGATGGCATCACTGACTCAATGGACATGAGCCTGAGTAAACTCCGGGAGCTGCTAACGGATTGGGAGGCCTGGTGTTCTGCAGTCCATGGGGTCACAAAGAGTTGGACACGACTGAGCGATTGAACTGAGCTGAGCTGATACATACATATATGTATGCATATTTAAGATACTCTTCCCTTTATCAACAACATAACTGGTTAAGGGCAGTAGTCTTTCAACTAAAACATACAGTAACAGATTGAGCACAGAGGCACAAGGAAGATTCTACTAGTTTTCTATTAAACCAGATAATGTAGAGATTTTAAAACACTTTTTGAAGTATAATGTCGTCCTCCTTACACAGTTGTCTGTATTGGAAAATATAACAACTTTCATAAAATGTTTGTCATTTAATTGACATGTAATGAATTGACTTATTTTTTAATTAAATACATTTTTCAATTTTAATTTCTCATATGATAAATATCACCCCACACACTATAGTTTCTTGGGGTCCTCAGTAATGAGGATGGTAAAGGTGAATTGTGGTTAAATGTTTGAAAACTGTAGTTTCTCATTATTTCTGAGTTTCCTGGTGGCATTCATCTCAAACTCCCAAAGATAACTTTCCTGATAACACACACTTTTTGGACTTAATTCACTTTCATGCTCACGTCTCCATTCCAAGACCACAATTTCTGGGATCACCTTTCAAATAAACAGCTTATATGCAGATTCTCATAATGAGGTCCATTCCTGAGGAAATCAAATGAAGGAGTCCCCTGAAGAAACATGGGACAGAATTGAATAGCCATTGAATTTAATTCTTTCACTGCACAAAGAGGAAACGGAATGCCAGAGAGAGAAAATGACATCACAGCCAGGGTTACATAGTTTACATGATCCCATAGATCCCCAGCATTTTGGTTACTCTCAGCCTTCTTAAAGGCAATACAGTCCCAAGGCTGCTACATCTGTCCGTTACTGTCTTCCCATTATCAGCATACAACATTGGAGAAGAAGCAGAGTCATGCCATGAGCATTGCTTTTCATATTTGTCTGGATATTTTAATACTACTTTTTAGTGTAGTATCCTTGGCAATCTAGCACATGAGACTTCCTCGGCTTCCAACCCTCGATTTATTATCAGTCTTTCCTGAACTATAATACCTGAGGTCTCCTATATCTCTGAGGGATAGGAGGTCCTATAGGTGGGTAGAATATGCCACCACCTTTCAAAGAGCTTAAAATTTCATATTCACCTTGACATCCATATACGTGATTGTTATTATTTAGTTGCTCAGTCAGATTTGAGTCTTTGGCTACCCCATGGACTGTAGCCTGCCAGGCTCCTCTGTCCATGAGATTTCCCAGGCAAGAATACTGGAGTGGGTTACCACTTTCTTCTCCAGGGGATCTTCCCAACTCAGGTGTGAAATGAAATAGATCCTTCTATATATGGTGAGCAAGAAATGTCACAGCTATCTGCAATTCTGGCCCTCCAAATGTGAATAAGGGCTCCAAAAAAGGAATACGATTCCTGCGGTCCAGCAGATGCTGCCGTACCCCACGGTGACTGCTAAGGAGCTGGAAGGATGCAAAAAGCAGCCATCCACCACATCTGAACAGGAATTAAGGGTATAAACAATCAGGAAATAGATTTGGCCCCAGGTAGCTGAGGTGCTTATGAAAGGAGCAGTGAGCCCAGAGGCTTGCATCTTCCCATACATAGAAGAACACTGAATTCCTTAACCTGATATCTGGTTTCCTTAATTAACAGTAATCTTTGATGGTCAGACTGCCCGCCCTCTTTGTTGCCAACTTGTATATAGCCTGACTCCCTCTCCTGCTTCCTTGGAGTATTCTTCTCAGAGCTACTGAGATGTTATCTCCAGGGCTCAGGACCCTAAATATTCCTACCAAATAAAATAACTATCTATTTATATGTTGTGGCTAATATTTTTTTAGTCGCCACAAGGATCGAACCAGCATTTCCTGCATTGGCAGGCAGATTCCTTACCACTGAGTTGCCAGGGAAGTCCAAAACACATGAATACTATGTTCTAATCTTAGGTGGATTTACTCCCTGGATTCTTTTTTTTTTTCTTTGTTCTATTTCTTATTGATTGGAATCTGCCTTAATTTAGACTTTTGCACATGAATCTGAGGGTCTGTGAGAATGAAAGAATAGACAGAGAAAGCCACAACCAACCATGATTTCTTTTCTTAAAGGTTTTTTTTTTTTTGGCATTGTTACATGTGTGGATATCTACCATGCATGAGTGCTCAGTCGCTTCAGTTGTGTCTGACTCTTTGTAACCCCATGGACTGGACCGTAGCTTGCTGCTCCTCTATCCATAGGATTTTCCTGGCAAGAATGCTGGATTGGGTTGCCATGCCCTCCTTTAGGGGATATTTCTGACTCAGGGATCAAATCTGCAACTGCTGCATTGGCAGGCAGATTCTTTACCGCTGAGCCACTGGAGAAGCCCAGATATCTACAAATTAATGCTTATTCATCACCCATTCTACATCAGTACTTGTCCATACATCTTGCAAAGGGTGGGGCTGGAATTCTTGATGAGAGTTTTAACTTCGAGATCATACCATCACCCTCTCACTGTCAAAACAAGCAAGATCAGGAGCCTAGCCCAGTCACTTTTATACTTTAAATTTTATTTGGTGTCAAATATTTTTACCCACCAGAGATTCCCCATCTGGGTAGTTTGATAGCTCACTTCAGATGTGCAGTTCGGTGGTTTCAAGTCTTGCAATTTCTATTCTGATCTGGCACCATTACCTACAAGATTTTTATAAAGTGAACTATTTATGTACTCTAGAATTATTCACTACTAATAAGACAGCACTACAATACTCATGTCAACTATAAAACAGGGTAAAAGAATGTTCTTTAATTTAAAAATGTGACCCATGTCAACTTTTTTTGGATTGAGGAGTTTAGAACTGATTTGGGACTTAGAGTCCTGAATAAAATTAATGCATTGGAAACAAACACCATGCTTTCTTTCTACAACACACTTCTTGGAAGCCAAGAATTTTATGTGTTCAGGCAAAGTTTATATTATACTCAGGAGTTCACAATGGACTTCATTGACTTGCCAACCTCAGTGGTAGACCTCTTTTTTTTTTTTTCTTTTCTTATGAGCTCAAGGACTTATAGAGAGGAAATAATGTACAGTAATTAAAAACTTCTGAGATTCCTGTTGGAAACCCACAGATGAACACTAATTCCAAAGAGTCAGAGCTTTTTATTTTCCCCAAAAATGTCTTAAGAAAAGTCTTTCTTTTTTTTTTTCTATTGAAAAAACCAACCAGGTATATATAACTGTTGAGTAGCTCCCTGCCACATTCTGTGTTCAGTATATTCAAAGCTGCTGAAGAGAATATACATGAATAGAAACGTGACCCCAAAATTGAGTTGCCTTGGGAATGGGGATTAAGACATATTACCAATGCACGCTAGAATTGGGATTAGGTGGTATTCATTACTTGGTTTACATGGCAATGATTTAGGGTTTCATTTGGATAAAAATCCCCAAATTAAAATTCTAATTACAAGTTTAAGTGTGTACTTAACTTATTTTAATTAATTTTTTAACACACTGTATATTTTGTCCTTCTGATTATAGGTTAAATACTCATTCACTTACTTATTCATTCTTTTAATAGTTTCAAGTGTGCTTTATATGCCAGGCATGGGCTCATTTTTAGGAATGCCAATACAAATAAGACAGGGTCCTTGCATCAAAGAGCTCACAAGTTTGATGAATATATGCTTGCAGAAGAAAATATTAAATTAAAAAGTATAAAAAAGAATTTTAAAAAAATTAATCCTGTCTTGGGTACCTACTGGGTCGTTCACATAGTTGGTGCTTGTTGCTGAATGGAAGTTCAACTATTTACCAAGGGTCTCAGTTCTCCTCTACATGGGCCTCTCCAAGGGCTATGGTGTTTCTTCGAAACAAGGCAGCTAGGTCTACAAGGCAGGAAATAGACACTGAGAGTCATCTTAAGACATGGACTCAGGAGTTACAGAGTATTATTTCTGCCACACTCTATTGGTCAAAACTGATCTCAAATCTGGCCCAGAACCTATTTACAAAACAGAAATAGACTCACAGACATGGAAAAGAAATTTATGGTTACCAAAGGGGAAATGGGTGGTGGGGTGGGGAGGGGATAAATTAGGAGTTTTGGATTAAAATATACACACTAACTACTATATATATACATATATATACACACACACACACACACACATATATATATATATATATACAGGCGGCTCAGGGGTAAAGAATCTGCCTGCCAATGGAGGAGACACAGGAGGCTCAGGTCAATCCCTACATCAGGAAGATCCCCTGGAGAAGGAAATGGCAGCTGACTCCAGTATTCTTGCCTGGAGATTCCCATGGACGGAGGATCTTGGTGGTCACAAAGAGTCAGACATGATGGTGATTGCATACACGCACGCACTACTATATATAAAAAGGAGAGTCAACAGGCATCTACTGTATAGCACAGTATAGTATGGAGAACTATCACAAGATCTTCTAATAACCTATAATGAAAAAGAATCTAAAAAAGATTATACATATGTATGCATGTGTATATATATACATGTGTGTGAAAGTCGCTCAGGCGTGTCCAACCCTTTGCGACCCCGTGGACTGCGGCCCGCCAGGCTCCTCTGTCCATGGGGATCCTCCAGGCAAGAATACTGGAGTGGGTGGTCATGCCCTCGTCCAATGGATCTTCCAACCCAGGGATTGAACCCAGGTCTCCTGGATTGCAGGAAGATTATTTACCTGCTGAACTACCAGGGAAGCCCTGTATATTAATGATATTTCAATTAAAAAAATGTTTAAGTCTAGCTATAAAAACTAATTAATATAACAAAGTAAAGGCATGTGCAGACAAAAAAAGAGAGGAATTGTCCAAGAAAGGGGACCTCTTTAGAGACTAATCTATTACATTAAAAATAAGACGTATGTTGGAGTTCAAACCCTCCACAACCATAAGGACTCCTGTTATTAGGCTGATTCACTCAGCTAATCTAGGATAGATAGCCTCTGCATCTCAAGGTCCTCAACTTTAATCATATCTGTAAAGTCCCTTTTGCCATATCAGATAACATATTCACAGGTTCTGGAATTAGTATATAGATAACGGCTTTAGGGAAGCCATTATTCCAATACTACATACTGTATTAGTCTACTTCCCTTAAAATAAAAGCAGCACTAATTTTTTCTTTGAATATTTGAGAATTACAGTGCCAAACGAACTGTTCCATAAGGTATGCCTAGTTCTCTTACTTTGTCTGCAAGTCACTTTTTAGTTCTGTCAGTTTGTAATCTTTCAGTTAAAGCAATTTTTTTTCCAGTCACAGACAATCACTGTTAAAAACTTAATGCGTGTTCTATCATTTCTTATTTATATGTTTAAATGTTATGCTTATATGCTTAATTTTTTAACAAAAATTATATCTGGATGAACTATATCTGGCTTAGTTCACTTAAAGTAACATGAACATTTATTCAAGTCATTAAATAATTTCTAAATACATGATGTTAATGACTGCACCATTTTAAAAATATGTCCTTGTTTAATGATTTTTCTCCTTTTGGACATTCAAGTTGTTCCCCTCAAAATGTGCTGAAAGGTCTGAATAAAACTTCCAGGTGACATCCTTCCAAAACTGTTCTCCCTGTTCTTTTCCACTCAGATCTATGTGGACATTGAAGGGGCGTGGTCTCTTGTAGGCAGATGTCCTCTGGTCTGGCTTTTACAAAAGCTAACACACATGTTCCAGAGAAGGCAATGGCACCCCACTCCAGTACTCTTGCCTGGAAAATCCCATGGATGGAGGAGCTTGGTAGGCTGCAGTCCATGGGGTCGCTGAGTCGGACACACCTGAGCAACTTCACTTTCACTTTTCAATTTCATGTATTGGAGAAGGAAATGGCAACCCACTCCAGTGTTCTTGCCTGGAGAGTCCCAGGAATGGGGGAGCCTGGTGGGCTGTCATCTATGGGGTCGCACAGAGTCAGACACAACTGAAGCGACTCAGCAGCAGCAGCAGCAATACACATGTTCAAGTTTTAATGGAAAGTTCCCACATTGCATTTATGTTTTGTTACCAATACATCAGTTCATCTCAGTCGCTCAGTCATGTCCGACTCTTTGCAACCCTATGGACTGCAGCACGCCAGGCCTCCCTATCCGTCACCAACTCCCAGAGTTTATTCAAACTCATTTCCATAGAGTCCATGATGCCGTCCAACCATCTCATCCTCTGTCATCCCCTTCTCCTCCCACCTTCAATCTTTCCCACCCAACATCAGGGTCTTTTCAAATGAGTCAGTTCTTCACATCAGGTGGCCAAAGTATTGGACTTTCAGCTTCAGCATCAGTCCTTCCAATGAATATGCAGGACTGATTTCCTTTAGGATGGACTGGCTGGATCTCCTTGCAGTCCAAGGGACTCTCAAGAGTCTTCTCCAACACCACAGTTCAAAAGCATCAGTTCTTCTGCATCATCTTTCTTTATAGTCCAACTCTCACATCTATGCATGACTACTGCAAAGACCATAGTTTTAACTAGATGGAACTTTGTTGGTAAAGTAATGTCTGTTTTTTAATATGCTGTCCAAATTGGTCATAACTTTTCTTCCAAGGAGTAAGCATCTTTTAACTTCATGGCTATAGTCACCATCTGCAGTGATTTTGGAGCCCCCCAAAATAAAGTCTATCACTGTTTCATTTGTTTCCCCATCTATTTGCCATGAAGTGATGGGACCAGATGCCATGATCTTAGTTTTCTGAATGTTGAGCTTTAAGCCAACTTTTTCACTCTCCTCTTTCACTTTCATCAAGAGGCTTTTTAGTTCCTCTTCACTTTCTGCCATAAGGGTGGTGTCATCTGCATATCTGAGGTTATTGATATTTCTCCCGGCAATCTTGATTCCAGCTTGTGCTTCTTCCAGCCCAGCGTTTCTCATGATGTACTCTGCATATAAGTTAAATAAGCAGGGTGACAATATACAGCCTTGACGTACTCCTTTCCCTATTTGGAGCCAGTCTGTTGTTCCATGTCCAGTTCTAACTGTTGCTTCTTGACCTGCATATAGATTTCTCAGGTGGCAGGTCAGGTGGTCTGGTATTTCCATCTCTTTAAGAATTTTCTACAGTTTGCTGCTTAGCTAAATATTTGATAAAACTTGGAAATTGCTAAAGGACAGAAAATAGGACTAAATTATTTATGCCCTACCTGAAAGTTTCTTGATGTAAACTTGAATGTATTTCAAGCAGAATAGAAACTTCCTGACAGCACTGCAAAGGCAACTCTTGCTTTCTATTCATCAATAGAAAATTGTAGCAACTTCACGTGCTTGATCTAAGTCTTTTCTCTCCCTGCTCCTAACCTGCTCTTGCTATTGTTTAGTTGCTAATTTGTGTCTGGATTATAGAACAGTCTTTTCAACTCTGTGGGAGAAGGCAAGGGTGGGATGATTTGAGAGAATAGCATTGAAACATGTATATTATATGTGAAGCAGATCGCCAGTCCAGGTTTGATGCATGAGACAGGGTGCTCAGGGCTGGTGCACTGGGATGACCCAGAGGGATGGGATGGGAGGGAGGTGGGAGGGGGGTTCAGGATGGGGAACACATGTATACCCATGGCTGATTCATGGCAAAACCACTACAGTATTATAAAGTATTTAGCCTCCAATTAAAATAAATAAATTTTAAAAAATAATAAGTTGTGTCTGACTCTTTGGAGACCCCATGGACTGTAGTCTACTAGGCTCCTCTCTCCATGGGATTTCACAGACAAGAATACTAGAGTGGGCTGCCATTTCCTTCTCTAGGGGATCTTCCAGACCCAGGGATGGAACCCACATCTCCTGTTTTGACAGACAGGTTCTTTACTGCTAAGTCACCAGGGAAGCCCAACCTGCTCTACATTATTGTAAAAACAGATCCATGATCTTGTCACTCTTTTCCCTGACCATCAGCAACTCCTCACTGCTCACAGAACTAGCCAGGTATTTGAAGCAATCTATCTGAAGCTCCAAACAGCTTTTTCAGCCTTATTCCCCAGTTTCCCCTTCATAAAATTTGTGTTACTGGCAAACCGATAATACTGTTAGTATGGTTTACTAACTGCCTGCTATGTGTCTGGTGGGTTCCATATACTGGTAGTATTAGATACCTATGTCAATCCTGCAGAGTGTCATTGTTATCTTTATTTTGTTTATGAGAAAATAGATTCAGCATATGTAAGGGGAAGTCAAGATTTGAGTCTCCAGTTTTCCCAGGCTACCCTACTTCTTCTGGTTTGCTCCTAAGAGGTTTTCTAATTGACCTTTTGCTTTTCTGCTTCCTGGTTTTCCCTCCAGCTGCCACCTTCCCTGTCCTCCTTTGGTTCCCTGTCTGTTGACACCCTGTTCATTCTACAAGGTTCTATACCTGTACTCAGTCCAGCGCCTTGAACACTGTAGGTGAGCAATATCCCATGAATAAGTAAATTAACATTTGCTCTTTCTTTGCAAAAACATCTTCAGATCTTAGGAGGCAGCAGTCTTTCTCCCCATGTTCCTGCATATAGTAGACAGTTCAGAAAGAGCTTATTAAATAAATGAAGTCCCCGTACCTCCTGGAACAAAAAGTCCACAGGGCCTTGTACCTCCTGGGGTGTCCGAGACCCCGTGTCAGAAATGTATGTTTAGGCAGCAGGAACACACACAGGTGGCAGGAGAATATGAAAGTACACTGGAAATTTTTCCTAGTTGGGTCAGCTCCAATTTGGCAAAAGCAGGCATGCTGTTTTTTCTCTGGGGTTCTTTCTCCTACCATCAGTTATTAATGCAAATTAGTCAGCAGTGTGCTGTGATGCAGAACACTTGTGACCTACAAGAATTAGAAAGAGAGAGAGACTGCCATTTCTCAAAAGACCCATGAGGGGCAGCAAGGGTAAGCGATGTGGAGGGAGGTAGGGAAAGAGGGACTTCTCTCCGAAGAATTGCCCTGAAATAAGCGCAAGTAAAAATAAATCCACATATAAAACAACAGTACAAATGTTAATAGTATTTTCACAGCTGGATTTCTTTGCCTAAGATACTTAGCACTTACTTTAGAAAGCTCTCTTCTAAACAGGAATCGTCTGACGGATCACAGAAGCTGAACTCTGATGGAACTCTGACTTTGAACTTCACTTTTGCCCAGATGGGAATAAAAATGACTTTTTATAAGTAATGACCTTAATCGTCATGACTCCGCATCAGGCCGTGGTGAGTGACCTTTATCTCACAGATGAGGACGCAGATGTAGGGCTCAGTTTAGGAAACTACATTCATAACATTCAGCGTATTTATATCTAGATTAGGACTCTGGATTTAGAACACTGGAAAACACCAACTTTGTCTGTTTCCATGGCAGCACAAACACCCCACTTGAATAACTGCCCAGTCACTTATCACAGCAGGATTAGTGGTCTTCTAAAAGGATCTGCATTCACATTCCTGGTATTTATTTCCTAAAGATATTAAGAGGGTACGCTATGGTCTTCGGTTTCAAAGACCGATGCCATAGGACATGACTAATCATTATGACGCACTTTTAGGGACTCTCCCCTTAGAAATGCCACCCAAACAGCATGACAATGTGATATGCACATATTAATAAAAATACAGGCTTCATCTCCAGATGATTGGCAGAAGCTATACTGATGAACATGATAGCTAAATAAATAATAGTAGAAAGGCTTGCAATGTTTAAAATGTGTTGATGTCAACTCTCACGTATTTATCTCATAAATATTTCATGAGTGACGGGACTTCCATGTTTGAGTACTAGCTATTGGAATACACAAGTAGAAATAGACATGGGCCATGTTTCAATAAGGCTGCAATCTAGCAGACACCATTCATATCACCTAATAGAATATTCATTTAGTATCTTTTTGGCCAAAACAAAGGAGTCTTAAAAATTAAAAAAAATATATATGTATTCTTACCAGGTATGTGAAAAGAAAATAGTTAAACCAAGCAATTATTCCTTCATGGTCAAATTAAGAAAAAATTCCTTGTGCATACAGTCCCTGGTGATCACCAGCTTGAATTGGTGCCATATAAGTCACTTCTATCTCTTCACCGTGCTGTCTCATTTTCCTGCCTAGTCATAAGCCCTGACTGTCAGGGGCTTATGTGCCCACCGTGTCTCACATATACCTCAGGCCTCCTAGTCATGAAGGCAGAGTTGGTTGAAGGACAAGGTCATCAGTGAAGGGAAGGTGAAGTTGACAATAAACTGAACACCACAGACAAATATGGATGTGTTGGCTTTTACTGGGTTTTTATTTTTGAGATCATCATAGACTGACATTGACTTTCCTTGGTGTTCAGTTCTATGCACATTAATATACTTACAGGTTTGTGTAACCACTGCTACGACCAGAATCCAGAAAGGTTCCATCACTTCCCCAAATCCTCCTTCATGTTATTCCTTTATGGTCATATCCTCCCTCCACCCACAACCTCTGGTAAACACGAATCTGTTCTCTATCATGATAGTCTTGTCTTTTGAGATGGGCTTCTTTCACTCATCATACTGTCTGAAATTCATCCAAGTTGTTGTGTGCATCGATAGTTCATTCTTTTTATTGCTGAATACTGATGTATCCTATGGCATACCATTGTTAGTTCATCCTTTCACACACTGAAGGATATCTGAGTTGTTCCAGTTTGGAGCTACTACACAAAAGGCTGCTTATGAACATTTGTGTACCAGTTTTCATGTGTACGTATGTTTTCAATTACCTAGTGTAAGTACCCAAGAGTAAGATTGCTAGGTCATGTGTTAAGTGTATATTTAACTTTATAAGAAGCTGCTAAACCATTTTCCAAATTGGCTGGAGCATTTTTCCATCAGATCATGTGAGTTTAAGGTACTCCACATCCTTGCCAACACTTGGTATTGTCAGTATTTTTTCATTTTTGATATTCTAATGGGTGTGTAATAGCATCTCAGTGTGGCTTAAAATTGCATTATCCTAATGGCTTATGGTGATGAACATCTTTTTTCATGTGCTTATTGGTTATTTTTTAAATCTTTTTGGGTGACGCATCTATTCATGTCCTTTCCCCATTTGTAACTGAATTCCTTATCATTGAACTTAAGGGTTTTAAATTCTGTTTACAAGTCCTCTGTTGGATATGTGATTTGAAAATATTTTCTTCTCATCTGTGGTTTGTCTTTTTTACTCTTTTAGCAGTTTGTCTTTTTTACTCTTTTAACAGTGATTTGGCAGAGCAAAGTTTTTAATAAATGTCATTTTTTTTTCTTTTATGGACGGTGCTTTCGTTTTCATTGCTAACACTTGACCTAACATCGGATCATGAAGATGTTCTTCTCTTTGCTTCAAAACATTGTGTTTTCATTGTGAATGCACTGATTTTTGAAGAACAAAAGAAATGATGTGCTCAGTAACAGATTGTATTCATAATGTTGTAGCTTTCTTATTTGGATTCTAAAGAGTTATTGAAGCCTTTTAGACAAAATAGCATGTCTGTGAATGACTCTTTCATCACATAACAGGATCACAGTTTGTTGTTTACAATTTTAAAAAAAATTAATAGTCCAATAAGCAAGTTTTTTGTGTATGTCAGATGCGTTTAGTGACTATACCCGATCTGAACCAACATGAGACTCTTTTTTTGTCTTTATCCCTCTTAAAGATTTTTTTTTATGTGAACCATTTAAGGGGGCTTCTCTGTTGACTTGGTGGGTAAAGAATCTGCCTGTCAATACAGGACATGTAAAAGATGTGGGTTTGATCCCTGGGTGGGGAAGATCCCCTCGGGGAGGCAATGAAAGTCTACTCCAGTATTCTTGCCTGAGCAATCCCATGCACAGAGAAGCTTGGTGGGCTACAGTCCAAAGAATCTCAAAGAGTCAGACCCAAATGAGCATGCATGAATGTGTGCATACTACACTCCATATTTTTTTAAGTCTGTATTGAATTTGTTACAATATTGCTTCTATAGTTCTTTTTTTTTTTGGCCGGGGTGGCATGTGGGATCCTAGTTCCCTGATCTGGCCAGGTCTTAACTCTTGGTCCTCCAGGGAAATCCCTGGATCAATAGATCCTTCTTAATGTGTCCTTTATGTGTTCTGTTACAGAACTCTTTATGTGTTAATTATGACCTGAGGAGGGTATTACATAACATTTAATACATGGACTGAACTACATAGCTAACATCTGAAAAAATATGAATTCCGTAACACATGTGCTCACAAAGGTCTCAGGAAGAGGGCAGTGTACCTGTAATTTCAATGTCTCTCGTGATATGGTAGCTCTTATAGCAGCTGTAGGGCACTTCTTCTCGGGCATCTCCTAGTACTTGTCACACGTTCTGGCCTGTGACCGAGGACAGGAGGAGGGAAAGGGCATACAGTGCTTTATTCATCCTGAATGAATGTGTCTTCCCTTGTAAAAAAAGGAGGGTTTATGACACTTACTCCTACTCTTCTCTGTGATAGGAAATAAAAATGCTGGCCAGTCAGCCTCTGAATATCTGGGAAGGCCTTTATTTTTGCATTATGATGTGTAAATGGACAGCGGAGCCTGGAAGGCTACAGTCCACGGAGTCTCAAAGAGTCGGACATGACTGAAGCGATTTAGCACGCATGCACACATGCGTATATACGTACACACACGTGTGTTAGAAACAGGATGGCACGCCTGGATGAGGCTCAGAAACGGAGGTGTCAGCCCTCTACTCACCAGGACAAAGACACTGAGCTTGTGTGCAGCCTCAGACACATGTGATGTGACTTGACACAGTGCTTGGTACATAGCAAAGGCCATCCTGACCACAATATCTTGCCATTTCACGTGCAGCAGTGACTGGAATTTTCTATCACGAAGTCAGCCCATTAGACTAAAGATGCCTACTTCTGGGGTAGGTTGAGGGGACATCAGAGACTTCCCCAGATCTGCACTGTGTCACTTCATCATCACCTTGATCCAAGCAGAAGACACAAGCCTTTCCTCCTCATTTACTGCGGCAAAGGTTGACAGTAAGGGTCCGAGATTTGATTCCGTCATCTGTCAAAACCAAGTACACCATCAGGAAATTCAGGAGCTCTTCTCTCGAGGTTTCTAGAAGTTTCTCTCCAGACTTCAAAATTAGAGAATAAAACCAAGAACCAGGAGCAGCAGGAAAGAAGGGTTTGGCTCTCTGTTTCTTTCAGTTACGTGTTTTTGTCTCACAGAGTTCCATTTGCAGAAAAGCAGTTAGACAGGGTCGTTTCAGGGGCAAGGCCATATTTAGAAGCTTGTTTTTGTGGTGCCAAAGGAATCGACACTTCTTTTTTTCTTCCCCAAAGAAAACAGAAGCTCATTATCCTGACAGAGGAAGTCCAGCAGTTTTTAGGTGGAGATTAAACTTTACTCTCAAACACTGAGGTCTCTGTTCTGCTTCTTGGTTAAGAGATTTTAGTAGCTTTTAAAAATGGTTAGCATGCTACATCGGTCGACTTTCTAAATAATTTAGAGAACTTGTGACCTGGAGCTTTCATGGAGTTGATGTAACTGTTCTGGAAATCTCTTGACTGGAGCTTGAGACTCACTTTCCTACAGCTGCAGTATGTCCACCGTCACGGCAGTCTGGACCCAGAAAGCAGGAGGGGAAATGGGCGGGGGGTAAAGAAAAGACAGACTCAAATTCTTTCCTGGGCTGCAGTTCTATACATTCGCCACCAGGTGTCTGTCTTCACACAAGCAGTCTTTGCTTGTGTGATGTACTTACTGCTTGACTGCCAGATTATTTTTAAAGCTAAAGCCCATTTACTAGATGTTGGTACAAGTGGGTATACATGTGCACATATAAAACGAGGTCTCAGAGCCAAACTAAGTAATTCGCAATTCCTCATCTAAGTAGGAGTAATCAATCGGACCTTGTGTTTATCATCTGATGTTGTTTGGGAGAACTAATTAAAGTAGTCGAGTGGCCAGTGGATTTGCTAAATGGTGCAATAAGGAAAATAAAATAAATAATTTTTCCTCTTCCAAAATTTCATCTGGTGTTTGTAAAATTCAATGATCTTAGCATGCAAACAGGTTTATGTTCCCAGGAACATTTCTTTTGGTAAAAAATTAGACAAAATTCTATTCTGAGCTGACTTCCTACTCTCTAGTGAAATGGAATGGTTCAGTTTTGTGTTAGCAGAATTTCAAGTTCAATCCTCGGCCCTAAAGTGGTTGAAAAATCCCTTTCCTTGGAAGTGCAAGAATTAGATTTGATTTCTTTCATCCCAGAATTAGGAGTGACATTGTACTAGTTACCTAAATGGATAACTCTAGTGGGGTCTCAAATGCACAATGATGCCCTT